AAAATCAGCAAGGGCTCAAATACTTATTTCCCCCACTGTATATGTTCTTTTCTTATGTATTTGCCTGCCTAGGAACTACGGATGAAATCTATCTTTGTAGCTATAATCCGGGATATTTACATTTGTTTTTATACTGATGTTCATTAATGTGCTTTGTCCCTATTGAAATAAATAAATAAAGCTTCATCACTTTAAATGAGCAAAGACTCATTTCTTTGTTCCTTGCACCAACATTTGAAGGTGCCAAAGTAATTGTAATAATCACCGTTTTCCCACAGAGGAATCAGGAGCCACACGGGAACAAAAAATCCTGTTTGGGTTTAGAAGTTACAGCCGAGGCGCCATCTAGTGGCTATCTGATAAAAAGACTCACTACACGGGTGGGAATATAAGAAAATATATTTTTCTTACTTCCTGGGTAGTCATTTTTAGTTGAGCTCCTACAAAGTCAATTTATATGAGATTGGAGGAATTAGCTTAAAAGTCACATAGAAGTCATTTATATCTTGGTGAATATGCACAAGTTTTCACAAGAATCACTTCAGACATTGTGTGGTGAATTAAGCTGTTTTATTTTTGTAATTAAGATATTTAAAGCTGTGCCAAAAAATAACCTTACTGCCAGATGAAGCTAACCTGACACATGGTAACAGGTGCTAAAAATTTAGAAGGAAAAACAAATTAATCTTTTAATTAATATTTTCAGATGTTTTAGATGAATCTATAGGCTTTTGTCATTGGTCATAATGGCGGAACACAGAGGGGTTTATACTGATGCTATTTCTGGATTAAATCCATACCAATGTTGGCGATTTCCTCATTTTATTTGCTTTGCTTCATAACAAAACGAAACACACCAGGAGAGACGTGTCCAACAATAAAGAGGCAAAAGCTCGGATGACCAAAAGAAGAGCACGTTTATTGGGTGAGAAGCGTTCACTTCTTGGCCGCCTCCTTCTGGAGCTTCTTCACCTCGTGCTTGATGATCTTGTTCCTCTGCACAGACACAAAATTGGATTATTTAAAACAAAAAACGCTCAAAGACAGCGTAAGATCACATTCACATGGAAATGTTGGTTATTTCCATATAAGGTAAACAGCCTTTTCACACAAACAAAACCAGGTCACAGGTCTCACCCGCCGGGCCAATAAAAACCCCTTTTTATTGATTATTTCTTTCTCATTTATTTCTTTTTCCATCTCTCTTCTATAAGTAATTTGTTTTCTTGCTATGTGTGATTATCTGCAGTATTTATTAAGGAGTTATCGTAGGTTTTTGGAACCAATTCTAGGAATTACAGAGTATTCTGATGGAAAGATGTAAACCAACATACCAATATTTTAACATCCAGATCCAGTTTTTTTTTTAAAAGTCTGATCCCACACGAGCATTAGCATCTGTAACCTACAGGTCTGTGTCCTCACCATTAAGTTGTTATCAGAGCATTAGCATTAGCATTAGCATCTGTAACCACAAGTCTGTGTCCTAACCATTAAGTTGTTATCAGAGCATTAGCATTAGCATTAGCATCTGTAACCCACAGGTCTGTGTCCTAACCATTAAGTTGTTATCAGAGTAAATCCCTGTTCAACATGAGTCTGACAGCTAAGTAAGTAGATAAATAACTTTAGACTTTAACACATGCTCTGATAGGCCGGGATCGGATCAGAAAACTGGATCGGGACGTCCCTAATTCCAATCGTCTGATATTTCAACCAACAGGAATATTTGAACATATGTGTTGTGTCCTGGAACCAGTTAAATTCCTCTGTAGAGGTTCCACTGTCCTAAAGACACTGTTCGATTTCTGCCCCTTTCTGAAGTGAAAAAAGCTGGATGGGGAGGTCCCTGGTTCATACTTTGCTTGTTTTCAGAGAAACGTGTTGAAAACAGTGGCAGTTCGCTCTGTTGTGCTTACCATTCTCTTGGCCTTCATCACCTTGAAGCGGTCAAAGTCAGACATCTTGGCCCTCTGCACAGATCAGAGACACAAAAGGAAAAGTCAGTATGTGGCACCACGGGTTTGCATTTTGTTCCAAGTTTTAAACTTCACCGCCTGGTAGTGCGGCATTATTAGGAAACCCAACAGATAAAAACTACCCAAGTCAGCTGAACATTCTTTTAAAAGGTGCCTCATGATCAAAGTTTTAAAGAAAATGACAGAAAAAATATTTTCTCTCATTAGGAAGTGAGTTTGTCACAAAGGCACAAAAGTTATAACCAAGTTATTAAAGCAGAAATTGAACTATTCAGTGAATTGAATTCTACACTGCGAGATTAATAAAGTCTATCTTTATCTTTAATCTTTAACAACCACTCTGCACCCAGATTTTCTGCTAACATATCGGACTGCTCTCCTTTTACCAACAGATGGGAGCCTTAGAGTTTGAGCTTTTTTACTGTAGCTTTCCCTCAGATAAAGTCAGAGTATCTGGACTTTCACATCTAAACATCGGTAACTGGGTGTCAGTGACACAGACCTTCTGTTTGGCCTCGATCTTCTTGGCCCAGCTGCTCTCTGCCCACTTCTGGTTGACCTGAGCCTTTTCCCAGGCTTTCCTCACAAACTTCTGGCGAGCGCTGTGGACATCACAGAGTTATTAGTCAGAATGAGGGCGCATTATCAGGCAGATTTTTAACAGGAGGAGGAGGCTACAGAGGATCTGATTATCTGATCAAAAGGTGGATCTCTGGGGTCCAACCATCAGTTTTATATAAAATGACAAGTAAATCAGAGCAGCACATCAGTCCTTAAAATAATTTGCATAAAAAAGATTTAAAAAATGGATCTAAAAATGTCTTAATAAACACAGAAACACCATAAATAAACAATGTACAGCTTTAACTACCGGTTGTCCCTTTTCCTACAGACTTGGTGCCTCAGATCTGTGTTGGCTGTCCAGAGTACCGTTATAACTCAGTTTGCTCAATCAGAGCATCTGGTATAAAAAATAATAATAATAAGTATTAAAAAATCATTTTTAAAATTTAATTTTTGATTCTGAATCAGCAAAAGAGGGCAAACGCTCTTCTCTTTATGTTTAATGTGTGTTGTATATTACGGTTAGGTTAATGTTGAACAGCTCTGTTAAAATTGCAACTTTGATGGAAGACGAAGGAATAATGACGTCATATCACAATGCAAATAAAAGCTAAACAAGATCATTTGTAGATGAACTAAGATTTTCCATTCAGGATAACAATTGGTGAACTGACATCTGAACAAATTAGCAAACAGATCAAAACTGGACTTTAATTTGCCTTCACTCTGTTTGGCTCACAGCTGGAAAAGAACAACCTCAGAATTTAGCCACCTCCACTGTCTGCACTTTAGGGAGAAAAGTTTTTTAAACTATTATGCATTGATGTCGACTTATTCCCTGTAAAGCTAAAAAATACCAGGTAACCCTTGTGTTCCAACAACTGCAGAGGAATACAGACGTTGGCTATTTCTCTTATGTAAAGGCACACTTATGATATTATTTGAAGCATCTACATCCGCTTGTTGTAGTAGTTCTGTCTAACGAATCCACCTCGTTAGGGCTGAACTCAGGTATTCATGTCCACACTCACCTGTGGGGTACTTTGATGACGTAGTCAGTAAGCTGCATGCACTTGAAGGGCATCGCTTGCCTCTTCACGCCTGTGCAAGGACCATCGACAAGGGCCTTCCAAAAGCACAAGAGGGGGAAAAAAATCAAATATATATACACTCAATTTTAAACCACAGCTGTCAGAGATCAGTCCATGCTTTCCACTCACCCTGTTTTGGTCAATAACATCTACAATGGCCACCAGCTTGCCAGCATTGGGTCCGAAGGAGATGTAGGCAACTCGGCCGATCTCAACGAAACGGGTGAACACCTGGAAGAGAAACCAGAGGGAAACCCATGTGCGATTCTCCATTAGAGACAATGTGGGCCAGTTTGTTTTTGAAGAGTCGCCGGTAAAAGACACCACTTAGTCTAAAATGTTACATTTAACTCCTTATATGATAGTAAATGAGAGTTCCGCTATGCAGTCTACACAGCTAGCATAACCGCGTATAGCATGCTAACGTAGCGTAGCCAGTTAAAACGGAGCTGTAACCGATTTGCACACTACATATCGCCAGGATTAACGATGTCACCAACAAGGAAACGCACGCCAACTCAAAGCGAGTGTTACTCGGACAGAAAAGACGCATTTTTTTCCTCGATAAGAGTACTCTCGGCATTTGCGGCCTGACAGACCACGTTGTTGTGCGACCAGCCGCCGACAACACACCAAAACTTCGTTTAACTACTTTATTGGATGTATGTGACTTCACATAAAAGTTGACAGATGCGAGTATTCACGTTAAAAATACGTTTGGTCCATGTTTCTGCCTTAGAACCGAGGCAATTGTGAGAAATTAAACTTGAAAATCCTACGGCTCTCATGGCGAACTCACCATGATGGCAGTCCGGGAGCAGAAAGGACGTCACAGTTTCCGGCTGCCGCAAATACGGCTTCCGGTTTAAGGCTGCACATGCGCAGTTCATTCTTCTTCTTCTTCTTCTTCTTTGATTTTTTACGGCAGCTCACATCCATTATTGTTGTATTACTGCCATCTATTGGATCCTATTGTCTAACCCTGAAATTCTCATAATGATCCCAGTATTTTTTTTTAAACGAAAGATCTTCTTTTTTCCTTCAGTATCAGTTAACTGCTCAACCACATTCTTAGATTTCAATTCCCTATTACAACCTAATTCATTTTTTAATATTCTTCTTTGATCTACATATTTCCTACAACTAATAAAAACGTGTTCCATTGTTTCTACATCATCACACCAACTACATAAACCAGTAAGATGTTTCCCCATCTTAAAAAGAGTTCCATTTAAAAAACTGTGACCGGTTCTTATTCTATTTATAATTATCTCCTCACATGCGCAGTTGATCTGTTACGTAACTCCTATACGCTAGCCTAAAAAATATTTGTAAATACTGTACAGACTATTTCAAAAGTTGAAGTTATGAGCAAAGCCGTCTTTACACGGTGTAAAAATAGTTCAAATGTGCAATGTACATAATGTATATAACGTTCTGTCAAATTAAGTCATCTTATTTTATGGATTTCGTCAGTTTACACATAATTGTGCATAAGTACAGATAACTTAGAAAGTTGGCAAATAGTCTTTATAATAGAATAGTCTCTAAACAGAGGTGATACGGTAAAAGAAGGACGCATTTGACTGTGTCTAGGGGTAAACACGTCACAGGAGGAAGAAGATTATATGAAGTGGAAAAGTCAGTTAGAATACGAAGCATTAATGAAAGAAACAGAAGAGAAGAAATAATAATTAATAGATTAAGAATAGGTCATACATACTTAAATGACATACTTTATCTATTAGGGAGGAAAAATAGTGATAAATGTGAGAGATGTGGAGAAAAAGAAAATGTAGAACATATACTGATGAACTGTAAGTCATATGAATTTGAAAGGGAAGAATTAAAGAGAATAACTAGAAGTATAGGGCATGAATGGAATCTTAAAGGTATATTAGGAAATGAAGGAAACATAACAGATATTCATAAATTAAGGAAAGCACTATTTATTTATCTTAAGAATACAAAATTAAAAAATAGAATATAGTAGATGTGAAGTGATGATGTTACACACTCATGTACAGTAGGTGGCGGTATGCACCTTGAAGTTGATTGTGATCCGCCAAAATAGAAAAGAAGAAGAAGAAGAAGAACACGTCACAGGGAGTGGCGAGGAGGAAATCTATCTGCGAACACAACTGCGGAAGCATTACTTTTCCACCACGACCGTAACGTCGAACGAGCACGACGTCGGTAAATGTTACCTTCTTTTATTTGACTATTGTTTATTATATACGCTTATTTACACCGTAAATAGTTAGTTTCTGCTTATCTATTGTATTTTCCAGCCACGAATAAGTATCTGAATTATTTATTTGATTACTTTTAAAATTGGACTTATTCAATAATAACTTTGCGTATAAGAGCTGTTAAAGTACATTTTGCATCTGTTATTTTTTATTTGAGGATGAATAAGCAGCATTTTTGTAGTTTTTTTGTCGATGTTTTTTCTCTTTTGTTGTCGACGTCTTTGGCAAAATACCCGGAAATATGACTCTGATGAAAAGGGCGGAGAAAACACGGGCTTTTTTGTTTTTTCTATTGGATCAAACTAAGTTTCAATTCCACAGAAACGAAACTTATACTAAAAAAAAAATACAGTCGATCCAAACCTTTTGATAGTCAATTTCGACCTTAACACGGCAATGTATTTGAAGAGAAATGTCTTAAAATAATTTTTTGTTAATCTTGATTACTTAATTATTAATATATATACATATATAACAAATATTTTAAGACATTTCTCTTCAAATACATTGCCGTGTTAAAATCGAAATTGACTATCAAAAGGTTTGGATCGACTGTATTTTTTTGAGTATTTGTTTAGTTTCTGTGGAATTGAAAGTTCGTCTGATCCAATAGAAAAAACAAAAAGCCCGTGTTTCTCCGCCCTTTTCATCCGAGTCATATATATATATATATTAAAAACAGATATTTTCTATATATAATATCTGTTTTTAAAAACCACACCCTTTAGTCTACTGAGGGAGAATGTTTGTTCCAGTTGATCAAGTTTAACAGGAACTGGGCAGATAATCAAATGCTGCCTGTTGCTCTTGTTTTAGGGCTGAAGGAAACCAGAATGCAGAAGGATCCGCAGATTTTTGACTCGTAAGTACCAGTTTTCAGATTTTTATTCATTTATAGCGTGTTAAAACGCTGTAAGTTCCCCATTAGTCATTTCTCCCTCTATCTGGTAGTTATGAGTAATGGAAAATGTTATAAGAAGGCGGAGGAAGTCGTGTATGTGTGTGGTTGGGGTTATATATATATATATATATATATATATATATATATATATATATAAAATCACTCTCTCTGTGGCTGTTAGCTGATCAGCAGACCGATCCAGTCCTTTAAAAATACTGTTAGATTTCCCTCAGTTGAATTGCAGAGGACACAATGCTCCCTTTTGACTCAACACTGTTAAACAAAGTCAGCACCACCCGCCTGGACTCCCGTTCCTGGAGTTGGTGGACTTACAGAAAGATTAGTAACCGACAGAAGCGAGTCTGGAGTGAGTTGGATTGTTGGAGGACAGACCTCACCAGCTCAGAATAAAGCCGCTGCCCCTTTGTGTGACTCCCGTTGGACTTTTGTGAGGTTTAGACCTTGAAAAAGGAGAGTCCTCCTATACCAGGAAATGACTCAAGATCCCCCACGAGGAGCTGACAAGTGTTGATGAGAAGAAACCACCCCGAAGTCTAAAAACCTACTTGGCAATAAACCTTATTCTGATTCTGATTCTGAAGTAGAGGGGAGGATTACGTGTCGTTCACTACCCGCCTCCCCACTCCGGGACGACTCGCTGATGATCTCTTTGCTCTAAATCAAAACGCGGCCCAAAGAGGGCTGCCCTGTTTCTGTCAACAATTCTGTTTCGTCCTTCAGTTGCTCAGCGGCGTTTCAGTTCAAGCGCGGAGGCAGCATCCCGGACATCCAACAGAGGTGAGCATCCGGAGCTCAGGAAGCTTCTTCTGGGAGGAGGGCCATAGAAATATATAAAACTCACCCCCCTGGGACCACAATATCACGCAAAGCTTTTGGCCGTTTATCCCAAAGGAACCGAAAAATGAAGTAAAAAGAGGACTTTATTTCCAGGAAGCGAGTTGAACTCATGTTTGGGTCGTAAAGAAGAGCGATGAATAATCCGCCCGTTTAACGGACGCCTGAGGGGAAGCGAGACACGCAGGAAGAAGTTTTTCACAGAGAAAACCTTTCCACTCCGCCGGCCGTTTTTTTGACCACTTTAATCGATTTGCTTAACGTCTATCCATCCATCCATTATCATTACCGCTTATTCCCTGATGGGGTCGCGGGGGGAACTGGAGCCTATCCCAGTGGTCAACGGGGAGAGGCAGGGTACACCCTGGACAGTCCCCAGTCCATCACAGGGACACACAGAGACACACAAGGACCCACAACCACTCACACTCACATTCACTCCTAAGGGCAATTTCCCCAATCTCCAATCAACCTAACATGCAGGTTTTTGGAGGGTGGGAGGAAGCCGGAGAACCCGGAGAGAACCCACAGACACAGGAGAACATGCAGACTCCACCCAGAAAGGTCCTGGTTCCCCCGGGACTCCAACCCAGAACCCTCTGGTCCTGGTTTCCCCGGTACTCCAACCCAGAACCCTCTGGTCCTGGTTCCCCCGGGAATCCAACCCAGAACCCTCTGGTTCCCCCGAGACTCCAACCCAGAACCCTCTGGCTGGGAGGCGACAGTGCTAACCACCACACCACCATGCTGCCCGGATTTGCTTAACGTTTCACATTTAACATGTTGAGCTCAAAGGCGCGGCAGCCAGGAAACCGTCAGTCGAGAAGCAAGATGCACAATTTCCCTTCCCACCTCAGTCTCTCGTCTCTGGCTGGAGGGAGGCAGCTGAACCAGCCTCAGAGTGCGCGCACAGGCAGGTATTCGCACCTCCACCACCACGAAGCCTCATTAATTATTAATCAGCGTTGCCTGTATCTACACTTGTCATTTATACCGTTTCGTACTGTCGACCTTCTCTGCTGTATTGTTCCACCTGCTGTGTGTAACTCGGAGCTCCAGTGTGAGCACCGAGTGGTCGTTGGAGTGAAAATAAAGATTTTGTGTCTGTAATTGCTTTATCTTTAGCGTCGGCGGCCTGTTCACGAGTCGCGCGGAGCTGCTGACGGTGCCGTAGTTCGGAGGCACCGAAAAGCGACACGGCGCCGCTTTGAGTCCGGTAGCGAGGCGTCCGATCGGAGCGAAATGTTTACGTTAAAGGAAACGGGATTCCCGGAGCCCTGGAGTTTCGGGGTGGAGCCCTGGAGTTTCGGGGTGGAGCCAGGCCCCAGAATGTGCCGCAAGACAATGTTTCGCAATTCCAATTCGCCAGAATGTGCTGGTTAGAGAAAGAAAACTCTTTATCTAACATTTAGAAAAACACAGTCTATGGCCATAGCCTACATGAAAATAGAGGTGTGTCGGCACAAATATTCCAGTGAAGGGGACCGTCTATAGGCAGGTGGAGTCACCTGACCCCTGGCTTTAATACTGTACTAACAGGTTCAGGTTTTGCATTTTTTTGTGCTGTGGGAGGCGGAAGAGACGAGAATGAACAAGATGAAGCAACTGATTTAAAGACTACACGTCTGTATAAATTAGTGCTGCATGATTTGATAAAAATGTGCGATTGCGATTATTGTGGACTTTATTACGATTACGATATTATAAATGAACGGTGTCATGAGTCTGCGTGCCTGAATATCAGGACAACACAGAGAATTACAATCATTTTGTAAATTTTCCAACTGAAAACACACAAACACACACAAAAAAATACAAAACCTGAATCTGTCAGTAGTGTGTTAAAGACTGTGGTCAGGTGACTCTACTTGCCTATAGACTGTCCCCTCCACTGGAATATTTGTGCTAATATGCCTCTATTTTAATCTAGGCTATTGCCCAATGTCTGTATTTTTCAAAATGTTAGATAAAGAGTTTCCGTCTTTTTTTAAGACAGAATGTTAAAAATGGCAAAAAAATCTTTCATGCGATTACGATAGCGATCCGAATATTCGTGCGGCTCTGGTACAGATCAACAGCGGGTTCCTGTTAAGACGGAGCAGGCTCATTCCAGAGAGATGAGGGAGGATCCGCGAGGCCGATGAGTCAG